AGTTGCTGGAGGGTGAGTCAGTGTACCTTTGCCACACTGTCATCCATAGAGTGTTGTTGATCCCTAGTGGTGTCATAACACTGTTGGGAAACCGAGAAGGAAGTATATTGTTCCAGAAAAGCAACAATACATCAGTTGTTGGTGTTGTATTGTGACGATGCACTGTTACTCTAATAAGGAGTGGACATTCAGACGGCTGAGTTCATCTTCTGCCCCGGTGCAAGGATCCAGACTGACCCAGAGAAGGTCTTCTGAATCTATAGGACAGGCCCTGCAACAGTGAAAACACAGTTCGGTGATGGGGACTGCAGCCAAGAAATTAAAAGATGCTTGCTCCTGGGGAGGAAAGCTATGGCAAATCTAGACAGCATACTAAAAAGCAGAGACATCACCCTGCCAACAAAAGTGTGTATAGTCAAGGCCATGGTTTTCCCAGTTGCAATGTATGGCTGTGAAAGTTGGATCATAAGAAAGGTTGAGTGCAGAAAAATTGAGGCCTTTGAACTATGGTGCTGGGGAAGACTCCTGCAAATCCCCTGGACTGCAAGGCGATTCAACCGGTCAGTCCTAGAGGAGATCAACCCTGACTGCTCTTTAGAAGGCCAGATCCTGAAGTTGAAACTCAAGTACTTTGGCCACCTAATGAGAAGGAAGGACTCACTAGAAAAGAGTCTGATGCTGGGAAAGACGGAGGGCAAGAGAAGAAGGGGACGACAGAGAACGAGGTGGCTGGATGGAGTCCCTGAAGCAGGAGGCGTGAGCTTCAATGGACTCCAGAAGATGGTAGAGGACAGGAAGGCCTGGAGGAACGTTGTCCATGGGGTAGCGATGGGTCAGACACGACTTCGCAATTAACAACAACAACAACAAATGATATGGTTTAATAGACCAGACCAAAAGTATACCCTCCCTTTCAGATCTGGTGGTCAATGCAAATTAATAAATATTTCTAACTAAATAAGGGACCCTAAAGGATTATTAAGTTGAGAGCTTAGAGTTATTAGCTGCCTTTCCAGTTACGCTCTAGCTTTCCAACTGCCTTCAGGGTTAGTCAAGTAGCTTTAAGGTTTACCAAGTACAACCAGCCATTGCACAGAGGTGTAATATTGTGGTGCTGCCTTTTGTTTTTGTTTTTTTGTTGGGAACATAACTACTGTCTTATTATAGAATATTGTGCAGCTTGACCAGGGGTTTAAACATCATAACATTTATTCAGTAAACACTAGTTAAACAAACTATGTTTCGACACATTGGCGGAACTCAGCCTGTTGGGTTCTCTGCTTGCTGATTTCATCTCTCCAAAATCAACAGCTTTTTTGTGAAATGCTTGTCTGAATGGAAGAGGAGACTCGGCGTACCCAGCTTGCTTCACTGTTACATGAGAATCCCAGTATAGAGTCCGTTTTATATGGCAATTGCTTCTTCTTTTTAAAAAAGTGGAATCCAGATAGGATCACTAAGGCAAAATGCTCTGTGCACGAGACTCTGAGGAGCTAGCGACGGGGTGGCCATTAACGTTGCCAGAATATCAGTGGTGGGATTCAGCCGGTTTGCACCAGTTTGGCAGAACCGGTAGCTAATTTTTTTTGTTGCCCAGGCCCAGAACGGACTTCCGGAAGCAACATCCACACAGAGAATTGTTGTTCACCTATTTGAATCTCACCACTGCAGAATATATGTTGCTAAATGCAGATCTTGATAGAATGGTTCATTCCTGATTCCCCTTAACGGCAGCTTTAATCTATACTAAAGCAATGCAATTACAATGAATCCACCGCTTCTTAATCTTCATGGCCGCTGAACGTAAGCCATCTCTGCTCTCTCTGTAACTGGTGACTCTCAATCCTTGTTTCTCGTGCAAACTGAAGGGATTGGGGGGGGGGGGCTGGAGATAGCCCTTCTGGGTGATAAATCAGTTTGTACTGTGAGTTGCTTACCTTGTTTCTTAAGCACTAATAAAACATATGGCAAGACCTCCATGGTTTGCAAAACTGTGTTTGCTTTCTCCTTAAATATGGATTTATCACCGCGTCCTACCCTGTTTTTAAAAATGACATTTGTTACTCTTAGAGGAGACATCTCTTGCTGGCCTGAAAATCTGTCATTTGCTGCTAGGTGGCAGTCTCCTGCAGCATAACCAGGACAGGGCTGCCCAAATTCCTATTCGCTTGAAATATGTATCAGACATACTGTATATTCTATGAATGCAAGAGCAGCTTTGATCCTGCAAAGCCAAGGTATGAACGATGCACATATTTAAGTAATTACAGATGCTTTCCTCCATGTCATTATTATGGTAAGCGTATGCTTGAACCAAAATTTAATCACAAATGCAGTATTCAACGACCTGGTTTTGCTTAATTGGGATGTGTAGACCAAAGCACAACTGGGTTCCTATTAAGCTGTAAACTGTGCCATTTAGCTGAAAATGCACAATATTCAATAATGAGACAGTAATTATGTTCCCCACCAAAAAACAACAAAACAAAAAAAGCAGCACCACAATATTACACCTCTGTGCAATGGTTGATTGTACTTTGATTGTACTTTGTAAACCTTACAGGTACTTTGCTAAACCTGAAGGCAGTTGGAAAGCTAGAGCGTAACTGGAAAGGCAGTTAATAACTCTAAGCTCTGAACTTAATGGTCCTTTAGGGTCCCTTATTTAGTTAGAAATATTTATTACTTTGTGTTTATTCTAAACTGAGCGATCCCCGGACCTATGGTACAATAGCACTAGCACTTATATACAGCTTCAAAGTCCTTTACAGTCCTCTCTAAGCAGTTTACAGAGTCAGCATCTTGCCCCCAACAATCTCCTCATTTTACCCACCTCAGAAGGGTGCAAGGCTGAGTCAACCTTGAGCTGGTCAGGATCAAACTCCTGGCAGTGGACAGAGTTAATCTGCAATAGTGCATTCTAACCACTGCACAACCATGCTCTTAGATAGTGACTTATAACTAAGTGACAATAGCACTAGGACATATATACAGCTTCAAAGTCCTTTACAGCCCTCTCTAAGCAGTTTACAGAGTCACTATCTGGGTAACATCATAACCCTCTCTGAACATGGCCCTTGGGTTTTGGCCCTCTGTAATGGTTTTCTTAAATTTTTGTGGGTTGGGAGGAAGACTTAATTCAGCAGGAGCAGCAGCTTATTGGTTTAGTCAATACAATTCAATTAGATCAATGGTTCTCATCCTGTGGGTCGGGACCCCATTTGGGGTTGAACGACCATTTCACGGGGGTCACCAAACAACGCAGTCCGCCATTTTTTCCCCCTTTTCCTTAGCTGTGCTACTCCCTTTTATTCTACTGGCTTTGGAAAGCCAATAGAGTAGACTCTCTTGAATAGAGTCTAATTCTATTGGCTTTCAAAAGCCAATAGGAATTGTCCAGGCTGTCTCTGCCCTGCTGAGCCCGCCAAAAGTCCCCTTCTGCAAACGGTGCTGCACCAGTTGAGTAGTCCTCAACTTACGACCGGTTGAGTAGTCCTCGACTTACAACCGGTTGGGGGTCATGGCATTAAAAAGGTTGAGAATCACTGAATTAGATCATTTCAGCAAACAGAGGGATGGGGATCTAAGTTTTAATCAGCAGTAGGAGTTGCTTACGGAACAGCAGATATGAAATAGGAAGACTGGGAAATTCCAACTTCTTGTTATTTCAGCTTTTTTTTTTCCAGCACAGGATGCAACCCACTTATCTAATGCATGCAGAACCATTGTCATAAATTTATTCTATTACCTCTCTGACAAGCTGGGACTTCCCTGATGGCAATAAATCATCACATTATATGTTCTAGGAAGGGTGTTTTGGTTTGGTCGTGTCAAAATGAGAAAGAACAAAAAGTTCCATTGCCTCTTGGGCAAAAATTAAAAGATGCTGGATAGGATTTAAAGGGGCAATCCTTTATATGCGGGCACCTCGATTCACTTTTCACAAAGACAGATGTGCATTGTTTTGGGGCCTTAGCCCAACGTGGTTCCAAGGAGCTCAAAGAAAAAAAAGCAGCCTTTCCCCAAATTTCCAAAGATGTTCTACAGAGTTATCCCAGCCTTGGGTAAAAGCTCTCTATCTCTCCCTGTTAGGAAGAAGTAAAAAGGGGATAGGAAAGAAGGCTACCGGGATCTAGAACAGAGGTCTCCAACCTTTGGGGCATCAGGGACCACTGCCATGGAGAGAGGTTTTTCCACAGACCAGAGAATGTGTGGTTTTGTATGCTGCCTGTATGGGGCTTTGCTTGTTTGTGCGGACCAATTGCTGGCATGCCGCAGCCCAGTACCGGTCCACAGACCGGGGTTTGGGGACTGCTGATCTAGAACGATTGCTAGATATCAGCCGAGAGATATGGAAATCTTTGCTACCATCTGATGGATGCCTGGTTTTTTTCAGCCCAAATACGGAAGCCCTAATTGGAAAAAAAAGAGCACAGAAGAAAAAAAACTAGCGGAGTAGAGAGGAAATACCAATAAAAAATAATATTTGTAGCTCAGATTGAACTGAGGGGTCCTTGCTGCTCTCTCTGAGCATGGCTGTTTTCTTGCAGACATTTCATCACCCGACTAGGTACCGTCATCAATGCTAGAAGACGTGTGCTCTCTGCCCCGTCAGTTGTTGATGGGAGAGTTCTTTCTTGGTCGTTCCTAGATTAGGCTGTTGTTTATTGTTTGACAGTTTGTCTGAGTTGGTATTCCATGATTTGGGGAACTACCCATTTCCCATTCTTAAATAACTATCATACGGCTATGTACTGAGTAATAGCAATAATTACAAGAGCCACATATGCTCTCCGTCGTGTTTGGCAGAGAAAGATCCCGGTCCCAAGGAAATTAAAATCTTGACGTACAAGAAACAAAAAACATAGAAACAGAGTGTGGATTGCCATGTTCCAAGTATGTTAGTGAAATGTCTAAATATTATCCAACACGTGGTACTATACCAGTATAAGCTTTCTGGAGTTGGTAACCTTAAACCAGATTTTATTTTATGTTTTATTTGATATAGGAGGGTTACAACACTCCCTCTTATTGCATTTCGAGAATAAATCATGTTAGAAGGCTCAGCTACACAGCTGCTGTATTTTTCCCCTCCCTCAGATCGCAAACTTTCACTTCCTAATCACATGTGCTATATTAATTTACATATGGATATTTTATACGTACAGATGGCTATTGACAAGGCTTTGAAAAAGGAAAATTCCACCCTTGGATGGAAAAAGCTGAAGTCGTTTCGTGAATGATCCAGCAACGGACCACACATTCTCGAGAGCGCTGCAACGAACCAAGTCCTTCTTCCTTCTTCTCTGCAGTTTTTTTTTTTTTCAAATGGAAAGTTACAATTTCCTTTATGTGAACACCTTGGTGCACGATTACTTGAAATACATTTGCCAAGAAGCTCAACTGGCAGCAGCCCCAAACAGAGTTGCTGAAGTCCTACGTAAAGCTGGATCTTCTGCTCAGAAAGAAGTTGAAAGCAACCTGAGACCTTATGTGGACTCACTGGAGATTCATTCTGTAGAGGAAGCCAATGACATTTTCAATCAAGTGATGGAAAACGAATTTGCAGATGGGACAATTAACTGGGGACGCATTCTGACAATATTCCTGTTTGGCGGAATCCTGGCCAAAAAACTGCAAGGGCCTTTGGCCAAAGAAAACTTGAAACAGATGTCTTATTTCATCACAGACTATATCATGGGCACCAAAGGAAAGTGGATCAGTGACAATGGAGGATGGGTAAGTCCTCAGCCCAAGTTTGTCTTTTTGTTGTTCAAGTTGCTAAGTTGTGTCTGGTTCTTCGTGACCCCATGGACCACAGCATGCCAGCCCCTGTCCTTCACTGTCTCTCTGACTCTGCCCAAACTCAAGTCCATTGTGTCAATGACACTAACTAACATCTCATCCTCTCCAGCCCCTTCTCCTTTGGACTTCAATGTTTGGCCTTTTAGCTTCACTAATTTTTCATGCAGAACGCGAGGCGAAAAGCTCACAGGAATGATATTAATTTAACACAATCATAACTGCGTAAAGCATACTGGTGCATCTTTTATTAAGTTAACAATACTGAATTTTTCCATTGATCTCACAGCGTCTAGGGTACTGCATTGTTTGCTTAAACATTACCTTATAACAGCAGTCTTGAATACTGTGTCCATAAATAAACTCGGGATAAATATAAAGACATCTGTAAATCTACTCACATATTAAAATGGAAAACTGCATTAGTGACTAGGGGTTTGAATGAATATTCTAGTAAATCTTGTCTTATAAAGTACAACTCGATAGCACAAGCCAATAGAATACTATCTAAAATGCAACCCCAGAGAGTTCAAAGAGTTTACTTCTATGCAATATGGGTAAGATTATTCCTAACGGTCAGAAAAATTCAATAGTGTGGTAATAATACTGTGCAACTCATTGGAATGTTGTTTCTGAATGGGTAATTGGCATTTATTAAAATTCTCTCTCTGTGTGTGTATATGTGTATGTGTATCTCTCTCTCTCTCTCTCTCTCTCTCTCTCTCTCTCTTTCTCTCTCTCTCTCCCTACCTACCTACCTACACACACACACACACACACACACACACACACACACACACACAAATTTCTTTTAAATAGAATCTTCTAGGCAGCTAATAGGCCACAAGTTACATATTAAATAAAACTTTGGCTTGTCTACGTTGAGGTTTTATGTTTGCTAATTATTTGCTTTGAAACACAGCAAAAGAAACTTTCCATAGCAGAAGAAAGAAAACACACAGTAGCATATTCTTCTTCCTCAAAGGAACAGGAACTTGCAAAATGCCTGGTTTGTTTTTTTTTTATGTTCCCATGAAACATGGCAAAGGGTACAATGTTGGCAAAGTACAGTGCAAACCTGAAAATGTTGACTCTCAATTAACAGCAGCCTTGCTGGGATCTTTCAGACAGGACTTTCTCTGTCCTGTCATTTCATGGACACACTGTAGTCAAGAAAAAGAAAAAAATGATCCTGCATTTAAAAAAAACCAGAATTCCCCAAAAGTGACTCAAACAGAAACAGACCCCTTGCTGTATTCTCTGCGAATCTAAAATGGCCTTTTCACTTTGATGTTTGGGGGAAACCCCTAATCTTTCTTTCAGGAAATTGTAAAAATTCTCCATTCCTGTATATGACTGTTCCCCTATTAATCTTGGTCTGTACTGAGATGTCTGAGTGGGTGTATATGAGAGCGACATTTACATCTAAAGTGTACTGTGCTTTTCCCTTAGAGTTTCCATTCAATTTCTACCAAATAGAACCAGGCTCCTGTAACAGAAGGCAAATCTCTCTCAAATCATTTCAGCAACACTGTCATAAATTGCACCTTGTTTATTGTGATCAGCTTGACGTCAGGCAATGTACTGAGCCAAAATAATAAGCAAAAGAACGGGGCAAAAGAACTTATACTATTAAGGTCCAAAATAATAAGCAAAAGAACGGGGCAAAAGAACTTATACTATTAAGGTCCAAAATAATAACCAAAAGAACTTATACTATTAAGGTCCAAAATAATAACCAAAAGAACTTATACTATTAAGGTCCAAAATAATAAGCAAGAGAACGTCAAAAGAACGTATACTATTAAGGTTCAAAATAATAAGCAAAAGAACTGGGCAAAAGAACCTACACTATTAAGGTCCAAAATAATAACCAAAAGAACTTATATTATTAAAGTCCAAAATAATAAGCAAAAGAATGGGGCAAAAGAATGTATACTATTAAGGTCCAAAATAATAAGCAAAAAGCAAAAAGCAAAAAATAATTAAAGTCCAAAATAATAAGCAAAAGAATGGGGCAAAAAGCAAAATAATAAGCAAAAAGCAAAAAGCAAAATAATAAGCAAAAAGCAAAAAGCAAAATAATAAGCAAAAAGCAAAAAGCAAAAAATAATTAAAGTCCAAAATAATAAGCAAAAGAATGGGGCAAAAGAACGTATACTATTAAGGTCCAAAATAATAAGCAAAAGAACGGGGCAAAAGAACCTATACTATTAAGGCCCAAATAAGACTTAACCACATTCAATGCTAACAAGGTTTACTATGCAATGTGACATCAGGTTGGTTTTTAGTTGATCTGGACAGCGTAATGTGTGAATAGTATGCCAGAAAAGCCACTGCAGTCCTAGGCTGTATTAATAAAGGGATAGAATCAAGATCATGTGAAGTTCTTGTACTCCTTTACCAAACCTTAGTAAGACCACGCTTGGAATACTGCATGCAGTTCTGGGCACCACAATATAAAAAAGATGCTGAGACTCTGGAAAGAGTACAGAGAAGAGCAACAAAGATAATCAGGGGACTGGAGGCTAAAACATATGAAGAACGGTTGCAGGAATTGGGAATGTCTAGTTTAAAGAAGAGAAGGATGAGGGGGGGACATGACAGCAATGTTCCAATATCTAAGGGGCTGCCCCAAAAGAAGAGGGAATCAACCTATTCTCCAAATTACTTGAGGGCAGAACAAGAAGCAATACATGAAAATTAATCAAGGAGAGAAGCAACCTAGAACTAAGGAGAATTTTCCTAACAGTGAGAACAATGAACCAGTGGAAGGGCTTGCCTTCAGAAGTTGTGGGAGCTCCATCACTGGAGACTTCTAAGAAGAGACTGGACAGTCACTTGTCTGAAATGGTATAGCGACTTCTGCTCGAGTAGGGGGTTGGACTAGAAGACCTCCAAGGTCCCTTCCAAGTCTGTTATTCTATGTTCTATGAACACAGGCAGTTGCCTTTTTCTGATTCTTCCAGCAGCTTCTGTGACTCTCTCAGATTCTTCTTGCTGGAATAAAAATATTGGAATTATCTGAAACCTTAAAACATAATTATACACATGTAGCTGTGATGCACGTATGCGTTTTTTAAAAATTGCAAGCTTGTTTTTTTTTCTTTTTCTTTAAGTCTGTTCAAAAATTTCCTTCCACTCTTAAGGGCACTGTAATACCCCCAAATCCACTAGACGGCAGCAATAAGTCTCCAAAATCAAAATAAAACACTGCCATGTTTAAAAATGACATAATTAACACTTAAGGAAAAGTGACTTGAACTCTTGTCAAAAGAGATCTCATCAGATCTGACTCATTTTTTTTTACTGTTCATATGAAATATTTAAAGTTATTATTGTCCCAGGAAGGCCCCAGCACCATACTAGAAGACATAAAATGCTTAGCAAGGAGATCCAAGCCACAACAGCTGGGTTCACACAAACACTAGGAGAAGGCCAAACGTGGCTTTATACACTATGAACACCCCTTCAGATCTCAACAACTATGTCATTATTTACTTATGTATATCCCGCCTTTATTTTTTGTACAAGTAACTCAAGGCAGATAGAGGGGCTGGCTCAAAGTCACCTAGCTGGCTTTCCTGCCTAAGGTGGGACTAGAACTCAGAGTCTTCTATGATTGGCTCAAAGTCACCCAGCTGACTTTTATGCCTGGCTAGAATTTGCCAACTCCTGGTTTCTGGCCAGGTGCCTTAATAATAATTAATAACAACAACAACAATAAAGTTGGAAGGGATCTTGGAGGTCATCTAGTCCAACCCCCTGCTCAGGCAGGAAACTCTATACCATTTCAGACAAACGGCTGTCCAGTCTCTTCTTAAAAACTTCCAGTGTTGGAGCATTCACCACTTCTGGAGGCAGGTTGTTCAACTGGTTAATTGTTCTGTCAGGAAGTTTCTCCTTAGTTCTAGGTTGCTTCTCTCTTTGGTTAGTTTTCATCCGTTGCTTCTTGTCCTGCCTTCAGGCGCTTTGGAGAATAGCTTGACTCCCTCTTCTTTGGGGCAGCCCCTGAGAGATTGGAAGACTGCTATCATGTTCCCCCTTGTCCTTCTCTTCGTTAAACTAGACATACCCAATTCCAGCAACCGTTCCTTATATGTTTTAGCCTCCAGTCCCCTAATCCTCTTTGTTGCTCTTCTCTGCACTCTTTCTAGAGTCTCAACATCTTTTTTACATCGTGGTGACCGAAACTGGATGCAGTATTCCAAGTGTGGCCTTACCAAGGCCTTGTAAAGTGGTATTAATACTTCACTTGATCTTGATTCTATCCCTCTGTTAATGCAGCCCAGCACTGTGTTGGCCCATTAGTCAAAACTGGTTCTCATCATCCTTTTCTCTTTGTTTGACAGGACAATGGCTTTATTACCAAATTTGAGGATAAAAGCTCTTGGATATCCTTGTCCACTTTGAAGACAAAGCTCTTGGCTGTTTTTTCCCTCTTCAATCAATATCACTCATAAACCTGGTCAATGCGTTCTTGAGAATATTCCCTGGGATGACTTCCAGAAACATTCCCTCTTAGCAAAAGACTGAGAATGTTTATTGAGCTCAAGTGGGAAGGGGGGGGGGGAAGAATACTATATTTCAAACTTTATTTATATGTTATTTATAATATATATTTTTCCTTCTGTGGAAATGCGTGCAGATGCTAGTGTGCAATAAAACAAATCTTTTAGCAACTCAACATAGACATTACTTCTATCTTGTCAAGGGTGATGTTCAAGATTTCTGAGAATGGTGGGGCTACCATAGGTGATACAAGCTATGGTACAAGCCGTCTCTAAGCAGCATGGAGCTGTGTTATGTTGGTGTGTTACACAAAAGTAGCCAGAGAGGGATCCTTCTTTCCTGAAAACTGGCTAGCTGCTTCATTGACGGACCCTTTGGTTAGGAAATCTAAACCAAACACAGTCCAAGAAGCTGTCTGGATAAGAAAATAAGATAAGATAAGATAAGATAAGATAAGGTAAGGTAAGGTAAGGTAAGGTAAGATAAGATAAGATAAGATAAGATAAGATAACCTTTTATTGTCATTTTTTACCGTGGGCACAACAGCACACATCAAAAATGAAATTTAGTTGCCCGCTCTCAAAGCGAAACACATACATGACACACACCTAAACATACTATGAACAACATATGTATAGACCCACATCCCTACATATACATAGCAAATAAATATTAAATACTATCCATCTTGTTCAGGAAATAGGGATACAGAATACAGCAGAACTGATCTTACAGAGCTAGAAGTTAGGGCCGAGTGTAGTCCAGGAGCCTGTTTTGACCATCATCCAGGATATCGTGCAAAACTCTTCATTCTAAGCATGGAACATTCTGTATTTTTCTCTGAATGGGACACTCTGGCCATTCTATAAAGTAAATCTCCCAGAATAGCAAGTTGGTTGCCATGTTCCAGATGGGAATGAACAGTCGGATCCGTGAGCAACTGGATCACCCTGTTCCAGAGGGAAAATGGAATGTTTTGGGGGGAAATAGCATGTTCCATGCCACAAAGTTTGCACCTCCTTGTCCAACTTCTTTCCCCCCCACAATCATTTTATCTACCACCATCCCAACACCCGCCAAAATCTTACATATAACCTCCAGCTGTGAAAAGGTGGGCCACCCTAGCATAAACTATACAACCTACAAAGGATGGGTGGACACAATACACTAAGCCAGGGGTAGGCAACTTCTGCTCTTTTATGACTCATGGATTTCGACTCCCAGAATTCCCGAGTCAGCATGAGTCCATGAGTCATAAAAGAGCCGAGGTTGCCTACCCCTGCACTAAGCTAAATCAATTCAAAACAATCTACAAAAAACAGCACCCTAGTACAAATTAAGTGGCACCACCCATCGTTGGCTAGGAAGGGAGTTCGTGTTCTCAGCAGCTGGGCGGGCATTCCCAAAGAACTTGCGGCGAGCTGCCCCCCCACCCAAAATGAAAGCTGCAGAAGTGGGATGCACAAACCGAACCGGGCGCACGGCAGTTGCTGCAAGGAAGTGCATCACCTTTGAAACCACGTCTTTTATTCCTTTCCGTTTTATCAATCACATTCAGAACTGCAAGCGTGCTTCCTTGCACCCTGCACAAATCTGGCAGAGGCTTGTCTAAAACAAAAAAAAAAAAAAAGGGGGGGGGGATCGATACATGTCGGTTTAATAAATAATCCTTTAAAGAAAAACAACCCACGCAACTCACTCACACGTTACAAATCAACGATCGCTCATCTTTGGACTTTGGAGCCGTCGCTTTACTTTGGCACCTCTCCAAGTCAAGGGGAGCGAGCGGCCGCTTCTCCTGCCCGCCTTCCCGGGGGCTCAGGGACCTCGGGAAAGACCCCCAGGGCTCCGCTCCGTCCTTCCTCCGGATCCGGGGCGCCTCCCCGAGGTCGGCAGAAGCGGCGGCTGCTCTGACAAGTCCCATGGAGAGCCCGGAGGAGGGAGGAGTCGCTGCAAGCCCGGCCGACATGGCTGCCCTAAACGCAGCCAAGCGCGCTCTGCGCGCGGAGCTGAAGCGCCGCCTGAAAGAACTGAGCCAAGCCGAGAAGCTGCGCCAGTCGCGCCTGCTGGCCGGCAAGGTGGGTGGGTGGGTAGGGGGCTCGGTGGGAGAACGGATGCTGGCTTTCTCCGGACGGAGCCACCCTCCCCTTTCCAGTGGCCACGCCGCCGAGCCCGCAGAACGCGAGGAAGTCCCCGGCGCTGTCCCGCGGACCTCTCCAAGCGCGCTCTTGGGAAAAACCGTGCGCCCACGCGCGCGCCTCGAAGCGGTGCCCGAAGAACTTCGCAGAGCCGGGGATTTCCCCCCCCCCGGCTGAGAATCCTCGCCCCCCCCGCCCCCATAACGTCACTAGGGCCTGGCCTTCCAAGGGAGGGGATTCGGAAAAGGGCAGCGGGTGGGCGCGGAGGGGGCTTGGCAGCGGTGGAAGGCAGCCAAGCACTGCGCTCGCGGGTCTGGGGGGACGGGACGGACGGAAGCCTTTCTGCCTTCCGGAGCGGATATACAGTATTCAGGGCGAAGACCTGGCTCTGGGTCAGAATTGCCAGCTCCTCCTCTAGACGTAAAGAGTAGGCTTGGAGCCAAAGTGCTTCGCGGTGAAGGGAAAGAGGGAAGCTGAAACGGGCTTGGGAAGTCACGGACTGGAAGTGGGTCGTGAGAATCTGCCCGAGGTGGTGTCCCCAACGCCCACTGCGCTCGCCTTGAATAAACCACAATCTAGCTTTGAGAAGTGAAAGGAATCCAGCCTGTGCTGTTACTGTCTGCATTGTGTGTGTGTGTGTGTGTGTGTGTGTGTGTGTGTGTGTGCATATGCATATGCATATGCATATATATATATATATATATATATATATATATATATTATATATATATATATATATATATATATATATATATATATATATATATATATATATATATATATATATATATATATGTATATATATGAAACATAGCCCTGAGTGACTCAAGCGTTTTTGGGGCCCTAACAGATGAAAACCAAAGATGATAACGGCTCCATAGCCTAAATTGCATGCGGACTGATTGAGGAAGCTAGGTGTATTTGGCCTATTGAAGGCATGGGATAAGGGAGACATGAGAACTGCCTTCCAATACTCGAAGGGCTGTCGCAGAGGAGATTGACTCATTCTCCAAAGCACCAGAGGGCAGGACAAGAAATACTAAGGGGTGGTAGATCATTAAAGAGAGAAGCAGCCTAGAACTAAGGAGAAATTTCCTGACAGTGAGAACAATTATTCAGTGGAACAGTTTGCCTCCTGGAGATGTGGGTGCTCCATCAGTGAAAATTTTCAAAAATAAACTGGACCACGTTTAACTGGAGTGGTAGAAAGTCTTCTGTCTTGGACTAGTCTAGAGTTGGACTAGAACAGTGGTTCTCAACCTTTTTAATGCCGCGATCCCCAACCGGGCGTAAGTCAAGGACTACTCAACCGGTCGTAAGTCGAGGACTACTCAACTGGTGCAGCACCGTTTTCAGAATGGGACTTTTGGCAGGCTCAGCAGGGCAGAGACAGCCTGGACAATTCCTATAGGCTTTTGAAAGCCAATAGAATTAGACTCTATTCAAGAGAGTCTATTCTATTGGCTTTCAAAAGCCAATAGAATAAAAGGGAGTAGCACAGCTAAGGAAAAGGGGAAAAGAAAATGGCAGACTGCGTTGTTTGGCGACCCCCGTGAAATGGTCGTTCGACCCCAAATGGGGTCCCGACCCACAGGTGGAGAACCACTGGACTAGAAGAACGTGCTTCTTTCCAGCGCTATGATTCGATAATTCTGTGCACGGCTGAATTCAGTTGATTTCAAACTTGCCATGCAATTAGTTTCATCTGAGAAGTGATGCTAAGGGAAAATTCATCCATCATTCTGAAAATGAAAATCTGGGAATTTTTTTTTTCATTGAGAAACTAATTAAGGGGATATGAAATTGAGAAGCTTCGGCTTTCCGATAAGACTACCAGTAGATGTGAAATTGACTAAGATAGGCAAGTGCCAAGCAGATCATGCTAGTAGGAAGAGCCAATTCATCCAACCTATGTTTCCGGCAAGGAATCACAGGTCAGCAAAGTTTGTTCTGCTTCAATCAGCAACAGCAATTGTGGGAATGAAAGAACAATAATCTGAAGGATAGTCAATGTCCTACCATTTCAGTGGTTGGATAATTTTCCAGCATATTTTAATCTATTTTATCATGATGATTGATAGCTCTACAGTACATATAAACACCTTTTGGGCAGCGCACTTGGAAGTAGTATGCATTATAAGAAATTTTATGAACTTTCACTTTGCTCAGAATGAAGTATTTATTTGATTTGCTCCCCACTGTCCTGCTCAAAGGAGCTTTCAAAGTAGCTCAGAAAATTAAAAACATACCAAAACCTAACAACATCAATGCTAAAATTTCATTCAAGAAGAATTTAGAGATTTCATGAATGTTAGGAGAATGGGGGCTAGATGAAAACCCAGAAGAATGCATTCCATGCCCTGACAAAGCTCCTTATGTAATGGGTTGTTATTGTTTGAAATAATAGAATAGAATAGAATAATAATTGGAAAAGAATAAGAATGGAGTGGAGAGGGATGGGATGGGGTGGAGTGGAGTGGAGTGGAGTAGAGCAGAGCAGAGCAGAGCAGAGTAGAATAGAATAAAAGAGTTGGAAGGACTTTGGAGGTGTTTCCGCTCAAGCGGGAAACCCTATACCATTTCACACAAATGGTTGTCCAGTCTCTTCTTAAAAACTTCCAGTGTTGGAGCATCCACAACTTCTGAAGGCAAGCCGTTCCACTGATTAATTGTTCTAACTCTCAAGAAGTTTCTCCTTAGTTCTAGGTTGCTTCTCTCCTTGATCATTTTCCATCCGTTGTTTCTTGTCCTGCTTTCAGGTGCTTTGGAGAATAGTTTGACTCCCTCTTCTTTATGGCAGCCCCTGAGATACCGGAACACTGCTATCATGTCACCCCTAGTCCTTCTTTTTATTAAGTTAGACATAACAGCAACTGTTTTTTATGTTTTAGCCTGCAGTCGTGTAATCAATTTTGTTGCTCTTCTATGCAATTATGGTCATAAGTCAAGGACCATCTCAATTTCTTGAGTGTTTTTTCAACTTGTTCTGGTCTTTGTAATAAACGTTGACTTGACATTCAGTCAATCTGATCACAGGTCCTCCTTTTCTCAAAGCAGGTGATGGCCCATCCTCGCTACCTTGCTTCCCAGCGCATTGCAGTCTTCTTGAGCATGCCGGATGAGGTCCAGACCAATGAAATCATCAAAGATGTTTTTCAAAAAGGCAAAGCATGTTTCATTCCATGGTACAAGCCCCAAAGCAGCCACATGGACATGGTCAAGCTCGCTTCCTATGAAGAAATTGCCTCGCTTCCTCTGACATCCTGGAATATCCATCAACCAGCTGAAGGTGACGTGCGGGAAGATGCATTGGCTGTGGCAGGTAAGTTTGGAATTGTGATAAGGAATTACGATACCGGTAGGACGTGGCTTATAGCCTGACATAAGAGAGACCAAAGCAGGCATCAATTTGTGTGCACTAAGTCTTCACCCTGTCATGGTTCCGATAGATGAGACCAGTAAAAACAGAATTCCGAGGCAAGAGGTTTCCTTAAAGAACATTATTTATTGGCTACAAAGTATTTTCACGATCAAAAGTGAAATCAAGACTGAAGTTCCCTCCCAAAGGTTACAATGTTACAAAGTTGAATTTCCCACCCCAGTAATATGTCATAAATCACATTTTCCAATAAACTACTTTGGTGGGCTTTCTAACGGAAGCTGTAGCCTGCCAAAACACAGTCAGCAATGACCTTGGTTCCCACGGGACAATTTATTGTTTTGTCTAAACTTAAAAATACTCATTCCCCCCTCCCAGTTCTCTGGCAACCAAAACCAAAGTGGAAATGGCTTCAGCCAAATTCGTTCACAGCATTGACACACCCTCTTAGAAATACAGGTAGTTCTCGGCTTAAAGCAGTTCATTCAGTGACCATTTGAAGTTACAACAGCACTGAAAAAAGTGGCGCATGACCATTTCTCATGCTTACGACCATTGCAGCATCCTCCATAGTCACTTGATAAAAATTCAGTCTCTTGTCAACTGACTTATATTTATGATGGTGTCCTAGAATCCTTTGTTCCCCTTTTGCAACTTTTTGACGAACAAAAGTATATGGGGAAGCCAGAGTCACTTAATCACTGTGTTACTAACTTATATGCATTAGCCTCCAGTCCCCTGATTATCTTTGTTGCTCTTTTCTGCACTCTTTCTAGAGTCTCAACATCTTTTTGTCCCTCTGCAATGAACACACGTTGAGTAACCATCCTAACTCAAACTGAAACGTGGTTTATGAAATTAACCCTTGTTTCTAGACTCATTTGATACACTGAACTGTCAATGAATGGGAGAGAGTGGTCTAGTGGTCTGATCCAGCAACGGCCCTGCTTACGCTATCTTCTTCCCCGGGCTGAAATGTGATAAGCTACTTTGTGAGTAATGGATTGTGTGGTTATATCATGAAGATGCTGACTTGGAGATTAAAATCTGCAAAGTTGGTGGAATATTGTGGAATAAGTGGCAGGGTAAAATTGGCCAGTTCTTACTGGGACACACAGGCCACTTAACTGAGCTTTACAAACTACGGTAGTTGCAGTTCTCCCTCCTTACAGAAAGAGTTGAGTAAATACGTCCTAGGACCAGCAGATGGGGTAGAATGCATTAAGAAAGGAGCCGGAATGACACTTTCTCTCTCCACTCCCCCCCCCCCCCACCGCCCATCCTTGTCTAGGTATGATATAGTTACAACCTTTCTCCCTGGAAAGAATTTATTTCTGGCTCTGAAAAGCCATCTGGAGAAGGGACCACTTCACATTTTAAGAAAAACAAAAACAAAAACTCCCATGCCCTAAATATCTTAAAATATTACTTTTTCGTAATGGTATCTTATGATTACATTACTTTGTTGTTTGTATGTATACTGAGAATTTCTGCACCGGAGACAAATTACTTGTGTGTTCAATCACACTTGACTAATCAAGTTGCCAAGTGTCCAGATTTTGATCACGTGACCGTGGGGACGCTATAACGGTTGTGTGAAAAGCAATCGTAAGTCACTTTTTTCAGTGCCATTGTAGCTTCAAAAGGTTACTAAGTGAACTATTGTGAGTTGAGCACACTCGGTAATTTCTCCAGCCCTGTGTTCTTTTGTGACACCTTCCCCTGGGGCCTTATGGGAGCAGGAGAAGTTGGGAAGGGGGCAGATCAATAGGGAGATGTTTGTGCAGTAAAAGATGGGATGCTCAGAGACATTCTGAGAAAAAAAAATCTAGACAGCTTACTAAAAAGCAGAGACATCACCCTGCCAACAAAAGTGCATATAGTCAAGGCTATGGTTTTCCCAGTTGCAATGTATGGCTGCGAAAGTTGGACTATAAGAAAGGCTGAGCGCCAAAGAACTGAGGCCTTTGAACTATGGTGCTGGAGAAGACTCCTGCGAGTCCCCTGGACTGCAAGGCGATCCAACCGGTCACTCCTAGAAGAGATCAACCCCGACTGCTTTTTAGAAGGCCAGATCCTGAAGTTGAAACTCAAGTAGTTTGGCCACCTAATGAGAAGGAAGGACTCACTGGAGAAGAGCCTGATGCTGAGAAAGATGGAGGGCAATAGAAGAAGGGGACGACAGAGAATGAGGTGGCTGGATGGAGTCACTGAAGCAGGAGGCCTGAGCTTAAATGGACTCCAGAAGATGGTAGAGGACAGGAATGCCTGGAGGAACGTTGTCCTTGGGGTTGTGATGGGTCGGACAGGACTTTGCAACGAACAACAACAACAGAAGCCCCGAAGCGCTTCCGGGTTGAAAGAATTAGCCAGTGACGTCACCATTGCCTGGGGCATGCCCAGTTGGGGGCTCCTTTTATGTCTTCAGCACCAGCTGGAGCAAAAGATGGGAGCTCCCTCTCCTCCCAAGACTGCACTCGGGTCTCAAACATGATCTGGCTAATCTTCATCCCAGCACTCTAACCCTAACCACGCACACCACCCTGCTCCCAGCACCATGGGCATTCCTCCGAAAGGGTTAAAAGACATTCTGAAAATAAATGACATAGTAAAAGACATCTTGAAAATAAAAGACAGAATAAAAGACATCTTGAAAATAAATGACAGAATTAAAAGACGTCTTGAAAATGAACGACTTCGCCAAACTGAGGGAGAATCGGGAAACAACAACAACAACAATGCAGGAGCATTTCTCAGCCCTCATTACAGAAACTCATCAAATAAGGTTATTCCCTTGATCAGTTATTATCTATTTATACTCCTAGTAGTTGAAAGTAGGTTGGAGCTCAGTGGAGGAGCCTCTGTGCAAAATGTGGTTTAATCAGAATGCGACGCCACGCATAATTACCTGGGAATAAGCTCCACTGAAACCAGTGGAGTTTTCCTTAATAGTATCTGCGTTGTGTGTCTGTCAAGGTATTTGCAGGCTAGCAGAAGTGTTCCTTTCCAAAGCCAGGCCACAACTCAACACAACATTTTGCTGTCTGAGGATAACCTGCAGTTAGCTGTGCTTTGGCCTCAGAAGGGGGGAGGGAACTATAATTATGGGGAAAGTTATTCCCAATTTAATTCAATAGTTCCAATAATTTTCTGCTTTGATTTGGAAATCTGACTTAATTTGAGGATTCAGTCAAATTGCTTTCAAGTCACGTCCCTGAACTGAACAGCCAAATCGCCTCTATTAGGTAAAAGACCAGCACCCAACATTTGGGTGCGTCTAGTCCCCATTAGTCAAAGGAGGAGTAGATTGGCTGTCGTCCTTTTTCTCACAAATAATTCATTTCAGTTTTTCTTTCTTTCTAATCAATTCAACAGAAGAGCCCTGACAGAAGCTGTGAAAACGCCCTGACAGTAATTACATATAGAATACCCATCCAAGTGCATTGATACCAATATGCAAATAAATTGCAGCTCCCAGCCAGAAACAGAAATAATTAAACGAGAGGAAGCAATTTAGTTCCAGGCTGGAGATGTTAAGCTAAAAAGGTTGCGTAATAAGAGAAGAGCTGTGGGTAGAAATAAGTATGCCACCTGCTGTCTCCTCTTTATGATGGTGTCAAATCATGTGCTGAGTTGATGGAGAGCACATCCAGGGACCACTTCTCATCAATGTGAGCATTAAAAGAAGCCATTCAGGTGCAACCGTAATTTTTCAGAGTTTTAATCACTCGCATAGAGCTGTTGTATGAATTGCTTGCCGTGGTTGGGCATGCAGTAGAAATTTGCTACCAGTGCCATCTTTGCATCTGCATTCAATAGCAATAGCACTTGGACTTATATACCGCTTCATAGTGCTTTACAGCCCTCTCTAAGCGGTTTACAGAGTCAGCATCTTGGCCCCAACAATCTGGGTCCTCTTTTTTACCAACCTCGGAAGGATGAAAGGCTGAGTCAACCTTGAGCCGGTCAGGATCGAACTCCTGTCAGTGGGCAGAGTTAGCCTGCGATAAACTTAGCACTTATATACCACTTCCTAGTACAGTGATAGCAAACCATTTAGAGACCGAGTACCCAAACTGTAACCCAAAACCCGCTAATGCATCGTCGAGTGCTGGGTGGGTGTGGCCCATCGGCTGGATGTGGCCCATTGGGTGGGCGTGGCTTCAGTGGTCACAGCAGACTGGGTGGGACTAAAAAGTTCAATCAATCAATTCCAACTTTGCAAGATCTTTTTTTTCCCGCGAGAAGTTGAAATTGACTGATTGAACCTTTTTTTTTTTTTTTGCACACGGCGGCGGAGGCTTAAAGCGAAAAGATTTTATAAAACCCAGCTGAAGGCCTAGGAGTGGGGCGACGGCACGCGTGCCCACAGAGAGGGCTCTTGAGTGCCGCCTCTGGCACTTGTGCCATAGGTTCGCCACCACTGTCCTAGTACTTTACAGCCTGTCTAGGTGGTTTACAGAGTCAACATATTTCCATCAACAATCTGGGTCCTCATTTTACTAACCTTGGAAGGCTGGAAGGCTGAGTCAACTTTGAGCCCCGTCAGAATCGAACTTCAGTTTGTGGGCAGAGTTTGCCTGCAAATACTGCATTCTCACTGTGCCACCATGGACCTGGTTGTATGAAATAAACACATTGGTATTCCAATATTGAAAGAGTTTTTGCAGTCTTGGCCATGCGTTAACTACACTTTTCCTTCCCATTGCCATTGCAAGGGGCAAGAAACTTGTCTTTCATTTTAAAGTGTGACTTTGAACTATTTGTTAATATTGAAAATGTTAAGGGAGAAGATATATATATTCTTGTCTTCAAATGAAAAAACAAACAAACAAAAAAGATACATGGAGAGAAACCCCTGAAATCCACAGGAATCTGGATTGTATTAAACTTTAAGGGATGCTACTGCCAAGACCATTACTTCATTTATATTTCAGTTTTCCTGTATTTATAGATAGACTCCATTTTTATTTTCAATTCGCATTTTATTTTATTTGAAACTTCCAAACCAAATCGCAACATTGGCATATAAATAAACAAATACACAGAATTGTGTTTTTGGTTGTTTTTTTTTTGCCATTCTGAGGTAGAAAAAGCAAAACAAATTATTTCAGAGGAAGTTCTAAAATAACTTTAATCCAGGTTAAAAACACAAGAAAGTAGCAAATTCTCCCAATACTTCTTTCAGTAAAGAAAAAAAAAATAGCCTTTCTCGTTTGAGTCCATTTCCTCCCTCCCAAAAAATAAGCTGAGGTGGGCCTCCCCCTTCATCCTCTTTGGACCAAATACCCAGATCTTTTCCTACACTCCACATTATTTTTGATACATTCAGCTTGCATTTCTACATCCCTGACGGCCGTTTTGCTTGGACGTGTTCTGCTTTTCTCGCTCCAAAAGTTTTTCTCTGCTGCAAAAGTTTAAACAAGAAGAAAAAAAAAATCCCAGCAAGATGATGAGTCTGTCCCAACTCTTAACTTGTGCTGCCTCATTTGTTTCAAATGTCCCCTTGGCAAATCCTCCTCCGTGTTGAGAAAAAAAAAAAAGATCTACGTAGAGTTGCCTTTAAATGCAGCAGAGGCTTCGGGATGCCTGCCTGGTTCCTTCGCAATTCCTGGCAAAGGAACTGCATCAATTCTGAAAGCAGATGGAACGGCAGCAAAAGCCGGTCTCTTGTGTGGGTTTGAGGGCAGGATGGCAGGAACATCACCACTGAGTTGGATTTTTTCCAAATTTCTCTTCCCATGCAAGAAACGTCTGCTTTCCTACTTTATTCTCAAGGAGCCAGAGAATTTTTTTGAAATTTCCCTTGGGTGGCCTAGTTGACTTTTCTTATTGAAAGTGCTGGAGGGGGGCTGATCTGGTGGCAGTGTTTACTATAACTTACAGTATGCCCAGGAAATCAGGAATCCAGATAGTTCAAATGAAGAGCAATAGCAATTGCAGTTAGACTTATATCCTGCACCACGGTGCTTTCCAGAGCTCTCTGTGTGGTTTACAGTGTCAGCATCTTGTCCCCAGTAATCTAAGTCCTCATTTTATTGACCGTGGAAGGATGGAAGGCTGAGTCAATCTTGAGCCCCATCAGGATCAAACTCTAGGCTGTGGGCAGAGTTTGCCTGCAATACTGCATTCTAACCACTGCGTCACCAGTGAATATAGGTTTATTGTATGATAAAGCTGTCTACAAGAATCTGAAAGACTAATGTTCAAAGCAAATTGGTGGTAGATAAGATTCAATGGAATTCAAAGTGGGCTGGGCTTAGATCTCTTGTGGGTGCAAAAGGACTTGAGCAGTGATGGGATTCAGCCAGTTCGTACCGGTTCAGTAGAACCGGTAGCTACTGTAAATTTTGCTGAGTTCGGAGAACCGACTTAATGCACACTGCTTCTGGAAGTCCAGTCTAGGCCTTGGAGGTTTGGAGGAGGCCTCCCAGGCCTAGAATGGCCTGCCAGAAGTGCGTGGATGCCACTTCTGGAAGTCCGTTCTAGGCCTCGGAGGCCTAGGCCTGCATCCAATAAGAGAACCGGTTGTTCAAGTATTTGAATCCCACCACTGGACTCAAGACTTATGATGTGTTTGACCCCTCCCTCTCCTACAGTATCTGTCAACGCTGCTGCTATTGAATATTCTTGCTTTGACAAAATGACAGTACCTTTGACAGTATCTTTCCAACACTGTAAACTTTCCTTGGCTGCCTAAAATTCATCTTCCATTGAAAACACCCCCTTTAATTTTTTCCGCATTAGTATTAAATGAAAGGAAGTATTGTAGAAACCAAGGAATCTGAAGATTATTGGAGAGACATTTTTACACACATTCTCTGGCCTCCTCATAACAAACTACATACAAGAACAGTCTTTTAACAAGCTATCTGCTTTCAAGTGTGTAATTGGGAGGGGGGGGGGAAAGAAACCAGTCCTATGGGCTGGGAAAAAAATCCACCAGTTTAAATTGTAATTTCAGGGTTCCATCCAGAAGGCCCTTGATAATACTGACAGGTCCATGCTGAGAGCTTGATGTTTCTCAACCAGGGGTCTGATCTGCAATTAAATCTTCATTCCATTTTTATCTGACATCCAAACAAATGCTTCAGTAATTGTAGCCGCTCCTTTCCTTTTGCCAACCCCATTTCCCCCAGGAAAAAAGCAAATATAAAGTGCACACACTGAGGTTTTATCTTATGGAACATGCAGTAGATCAATTGCAGAATTATTACCGTGAAAAAAAAAAACTTGGAGGAGGAGATAAATTGCTCACTGTTGCAGCTATCCCACTTAGCCAAGCCCCTCCTCTTCAAAAACCCTTCAGTATTAGAGATGAGAAAATTATTTAGACGAATTAAACCCCGAAAAAGGGCAAACAAGAGGGACATCTTCTTTGTGCAGTGGAGTGCAAAAACAAAAACAAAAAAAGAAATTAGAGCAAAATGTGAAAAAAATAGTTTTATAATGATATTTAGTTGTTACTATATGCAAGGGGCTCTTAGTTGTTCATGTGCAGCTCTGCTGCAGCTGCCAAAAAAGACAACACAGTGCTGGACTGCATTAACAGAGGGATAGAATCAAGATCACGTGAAGTATTAATACCACTTTACAAGGCCTTGGTAAGGCCACACTTGGAATACTGCATCCAGTTTTGGTCACCATGATATAAAACAGATGTTGAGACTCTAGAAAGAGTACAGAGAAGAGCAACAAAGATGATTAGGGGACTGGAGGCTAAAACATATAAGGAACGATTGCTGGAACTGGTTATGTCTAGTTTAAGGAAGAGAAGGACGAGGGGGGACATGATAGCAGTCTTCCAATATCTCAGGGGAGGGAGTCAAGCTATTCTCCAAAGCGCCTGAAGGCAGGACAAGAAGCAACGGATGAAAACTAACCAAAGAGAGAAGCAACCTGGAACTAAGGAGAAACTTCCTGACAGTTAGAACAATTAACCAGTGAAACAACCTGCCTCCAGAAGCGGTGAATGCTCCAACACTGGAAGTTTTTAAGAAGAAATTGGACAGCCATTTGTCCAAAATGGTATAGGGTTTCCTGCCTGAGCAGGGGGTTGGACTAGATGACCTCCAAGGTCCCTTCCAACTTTATCATCATCATCATTATTATTATTATTATTAGTTTTAAAGGACAGTGAAGAAGATGCATTGAAGCTAGTATACTAGGAAAGCTTGATAAGTAGATAAAAATGCCAAATCAAATCTAGACATCTGTGTGAGGAACAATAATAATAATAATAATAATAATAATAATATAATAGCAGCAATCTGTTGGTGTTTGTTTATTGCAGTTATCGGTTATATGTCTGCATATATTTAGCCACTTGCCTTAATAACCTTTGGTATGTGAGTTTTAATACAATAAAAGTCTGAAAGAAAAAGAGCTTTTCACAGCTTCTGTTGCTTTTGTAAAATGCCTTCCCAGAGAAAATTGCTTAGGAGTCTTTCTAGTGCTGCTCAGTCTTGCTTTGTGCACAGAGGAGTTTTAGCACGCTGGCTGAGGAATTCTGGGAGTTGAAGTCCACAAGTCATAAAAGGGCCAAGTTTGAAGACCCCCTGTCTCTGACAGGTTGCATTGCTGTGACCTGGAAATCCAACTTAGCCAGCTTTTAAAAGTCAAAACTGGGGTGGGGGGAAACACACACACCTCACTTCTTGGACAAATCAGGAAGAAAACAAAATTGAAAAATGAAAAGTTAGTTTGATGTCATTTCACCCCAGATATTTCCTCTCGTCCACAGATGGTCTGGATCTCATCCTGATGCCGGGACTTGGTTTTGACCAAACGGGGAACAGGCTGGGAAGAGGAAAAGGGTATTATGATACCTTCCTCCAACGATGCCAGCAGCATCCGAAAGGAAAACCGTACACAATTGCCTTAGCTTTCCAAGAACAAATGTGCAGTATGGTCCCTGTGTCTGAAACTGATATGAAAGTGGATGAAATCCTCTTTGAAGACTCTAAGCAAGAACTCCAATGAATGACTGACCGTTGCTTTTCATGGAATTTATGGACCGCTTTGTTCACACCTATTCTTCATGGTGAGGAACTGTGGTTAACTGCTGCCAATATCTTTGTTATCTCAACTCCTTAGCTGTGTTGAGGATGGTACTACCACTTCTGCCTGTAAAGAACCAAGAGGTCATGTGTCTAGATTATGTGTCAAGGTTCCAATTGACAAACCAACCAAGTAAACACCTTCAAGACGTTTCAATCTCTTTGTTGAGTACATCATTTCGTCATGTATGCAAGCAAAACCAGCTCTGGCAAAACCCCACCCTAGCCCATATAGTAGGAATTCCCCCTTCTCCTTCTTGATCAGGTCACGTTGCCTAATTAAGTGCAAAAATATTGTTATGAGAAGGTGCTTCTGAGTCTGGTTAGGTACCTGGTGAACTGTCCTTGGTTCTCACGGTCTGCTTTCTTGATCTTTGAAGTCTGCATTCCAATCCCTTTCCCTCCCCCTGAGTTTGTTGGCAAGCTGAAAAGCAATAATGGTCACACCAGCAAAAAAACCCATGCTTTTGAAGTTGACATTTTACACATAATGCATGTGGATTACCTATTCTTCTTTTCTAAACTATTGGCGTGATTTGGCAGAGTTTCTTTTGATGAAACTCATGAGAAATACATGATCCAGATGGTGAGTGAGCCACCAGCAAGAATACTAAAAGGTTTTTAAGGAGAAAAAAATTATATTCAATAGACACCATATAGCTGCTTTTTCAGAACTTCGTTGAGCAAGGTGGCTTCAGTTATCTCCAATGGGTTTATCCTCCAGATGCATGGACTTCTAGAATTCTCCGTAAACATGGCCATTGCTGAAAATGCTGGAAGTCCAAGACCACACATCTGGAGGTGCCCAGATTAATGATGGCTGCCCCTCCCCTGCCAAAAACCCCTCCTGAAATATTAGCCAGCGGGGTTAAGAGAATGGGAGTTCCTCACCCGAGTAACACCTTCCTACAGATATTTTGGAGAACTCTTCTAGAGCAGGAGTCTTCAAACTTGGCAATTTTAAGACTTGTGGACTTCAACTCCCAGAATTCCTCAGCCAGCTCAACAAATCCACAAGTCTTAAAACTGCCAGGTTTGAAGACCCCTGTTCTAGAGGTTGAATACAAGAAACAAGAAAGGGGAGGAGTCTTAGGATGGTCTTATCTTCAAGATATTACGTGTTGGTGTTAATCTAGGTTTTCTTTATTTATGATTTAGTGACAACCTGAATTGGATGAGTTCACACAATATATTAGCTAAGTAAGGTTAGCACAATGTGCGAATCCAGCTCTTGGGTTGGACCACTGGGGTTACGTGTATAGCCTAAAATTCATGTATTGTGCAAACTCAGCTTATGTGGGTAACTTCTGGATTTTCATGAATGCCTAAACCATAAGATTCAGTTAAACTGAAATGTAACTTATTCTTGGGAAGACAACCAAAGCCAGCTGCATCCCAGGTCCTTGATGATCATGGATCCAACCCAGGGGTCTTCAAACTTAGCCCTTTTTATGAGTTGTGGAGTTGAAGTCCACAAGTCATAAAAGGGCCAAGTCTGAAGACCCCTGATCCAACCTCTACTTCTGGTTGATTCTTACCCATCTTCCTACTCCCCAGGTGATTAGGGTGGAAGGTAGTAGAGGAATGCCTAAAACACAAAGCTGGCTGCAGAATAAAGCAAATCTTGGCAATTCTTCAAGGGCACAATGAATCAGATGTCCCCCAAATATAGCAGAGCTGCCACACCACCTGTTGAAGTAAACCAGTGAATGCTAATATTGTGCCTTTCCAGCAACAGAAGTGTCTGTTTTTCTGCCTAATCCTCCAGGGACTTAAGAATGTCTTCTCAATTCTCTTGATGGTGTCTTTGAGTTTTCTTAAATATTGGACGAGGTGGACAGTGCTGCTGCTGCTGCTGTCATGATGGTTACTTCTTGCAACGTCTCTTACCATCAAGTTGAGGCCTCTTTGCCTTTTCATTCATTCCAATTTAACAAGTCCCATGGAAGGAACCATATCTTGACACTTTTCTTTGGGATTTAATAGAAGTACCAGTGGCCAGGGAGCTTTAGACTGCTGGAAAGAATAATTTTCCTAGGCTGTCTTATCCTTAAATACGTGCTGTAACAACCATCTACCTATGAGAATTTCACTGAAGTTAAAAAAAAAAAAAATCAAATTCTCTTTCATCAGCTTCAATGGGGACCAGGTATCCATGGCACTTTTCTGCCTGCCACTTAATAATATGCATTGCCTTCTGAATGAGATTCCCTGTAAATCTATTAAATCCTGCATCGAAACAATCCACTGAAGGTTCAGCATGTATTATACATTTTAATCTGCTTCTTCCCAGATAGTTATCTTACCAGCTAATCAACTGGACAATGGGGAAGAACAAGAAAGTACAAGAAGCAATCTTTAGCTTTCCCCCTAGATTTTCAGTTTTTCCTGCTGTTAATTGCAAAATGGCAGAGAAAGAGGCATGGCTGGGAAGAAAAGAAGGAAGGAAGGAAGGAAGGAAGGAAGGAAGGAAGGAAGGAAGGAAGGAAGGAAGGAAGGAAGGAAGGAAGGAAGGCAGGCAGGCAGGAAGGAAGGAAGGAAGGAAGGAAGGAAGGAAGGAAGGAAGGAAGGAAGGAAGGAAGGAAGGACATATATTTGTATACTTATAAGAGGGAATGGGAGAAGTGAGTGAGCAAAACAAGTAGTGTTGTGTCTTCTAACCATTGTCCTGAGACTCTCATAAAGCAAGAAGAATATTGATCATTCTTTGGTGCTGACTCCTAGAGAGGAGGGTTTTCTGAGCTTCTTCTAGAAATTGGGTATGTCTAGTTTAATGAAAAGAAGGATGGGGTGACATAATAGCAATGCTCCAATATTTCAAGAGCTGCCCCAAAGAAGAGGGAGTCAAGCTATTCCCCAAAGCGCCTGAAGGCAGGACAAGGAGCAATGGATGGAAACTAACCAAAGAGACAAGCAACCTAGAACTAAGGAGAAATTTCCTGACAACTAAAACAATTAACCAGTGGAATGATTTGACTCCCGGAGTTGTAGGTGGTCCAACACTGGAGTTTTAAAGAAGAGATTGGACAACCATTTGTCTGAAATGGTATAGGCCAGGGTTTCCTGCCTGAGCAGGGGGTTGGACTAGAAGAACTCCAAGGTCCCTTCCCAACTCTGTTATTCTTCCAGAAGTCAACATGAAACCTGTAAGTTACACAAAACAATCTGCCCTTAAACCCCAGCCAACATCTTCATGGAGGAGGATCCGGGACATCAACGAGGCTGTCCAAGAATGAATAATGGGAGAAAGCTGGGAAGCAAGGGAATTTAAGAGCGATACTCACCCAAGCTCCTTCGTTGTGAAGGGAGCCAGCATTTGTGACTCAAACATTTGTCCACCAGCATTAAGTGCACAAAGACAGAAACATTTTCAGGGTTGAACTGCCAGCTTCTGCTATTGTTCCCTTCAGTAGAGCAAGTTAATCTGCTGCCAACTGACTGCCCATTATTGTTCAACTCCCAAGAAAGGTGTCACTTTGTGTGAAGTGGAACCTGCTAAATAGTTTTGACAGATGCACCACAGAAGACCAGCCCCAAAGCCACCTTCCCTATTGCCGTCGCCTCTAGTAATTGCTCTGATTAACAGGGAGGTCTTTAAAATGCACAGCCTATTCCAAACAAAGCTTTCGCATTCCTTTCTCATCTCTCCTTTGTATATAATTTGCATTCTCGGAGGGGGAAAAAAAAAAGAGAGTCATTTTATTTTAAAGCAGCCTCAAGACTTGAGGTTCCCCAAGGACACTGCTGACAATTAACAGGACTTTGAAGAAACTTCTCAAGAATGAAGTGTAGCTTTCCTTAAACCAGATAAATTCTTTTATTAATTAGAAAGGCAATCCATTAATTAACAGCAGAGCTCAGAAAGCTGTATACGCTATCCACACACCCATGAAGTGTCAGATCTTAAGTTCTCTCTAGTCTGCTGTTGTATGCACACATCACATATTGCTGCTGCTATCTCAGCAAACAAGAGCCACACTGGACATGGGGTGGGTGCAAGGGGGTGGGACAAAGAAATAAAGGAGGAGGAGCTGTGATGATGCAGTGGTTAGAATTCAATATTGCAGGCTAACTCAGCACTGCATATCATACTGCCTCTCTCTATCATACTGTCCAGTCCAAATGAGTTAGCCACATGGACACAACTGGTGGTGAACTGTGGTGGCACAGTGGTTAGAGTGCAGTATTGCAGGCTGACTCTGCCCACTGCCAGGAGTTTGATCCTGACCAACTCAAGGTTGGCTCAGCCTTCCATCCTTCCGAGGTCAATAAAATGAGGACCCAGATTGTTGGGGGCAATAGGCTGACTCTGTAAACCGCTTAGAGAGGTCTGTAAAGCACTGTGGAATGGCATACAACTAAGTGCTATTTCTGTTGCTATCATCATGCACGTTGACAGAAGCCACATTTTTCATTCGTTCTGACGCAGGGCAGGAGAAAGTGTTAATTTCTGTTTTCCTAAAAAAAAAAAAAATCTGTTATGCCTATTTTTAGGATTACACTGCAGTTTCTTTTAACACAGGAAGCTTTCACCGATTTCCAGCAACTGAGGTGAGAAAGGGTTCCAGAGGGCAGGGAAATAGGAGTTTGCATTGAAGGTTGACTACCCCATGTTTCAATATGGGGTTTCAGATACGTTTTCCACTTAAAAGTAAAGGTAGATTACAACTGTCCTCAACAGGAGCTTCCCAATGGAAAAAAAGAGACTCTACCCCAAAGACATTGATTTGTTAGGATCTTTAGCAATTATTCTACCCTACCAAACAAAGGAGCGCCACAGTTAATATAATAATAGTTATCTTGCAGCTAAAACATTAGTTTAGCAGAGTCCCAATGCTGCTATATGTATCGGTGGCAGCCTTCTTAATTGGTTTGATGACATGAGCCAAGGGTGGAAGTGCAGCCAAGAAGGCCACTCACTACTCTCCATGCAATGTTCCATGCTAACCTTGTTTGGACAACAGCAGAGCCTATCCCCATTCCTAAATCATAGTAAACACAGACTATGAGGACATGTATATCAACACCTCTTCCTTCCAACCTAACGATTGGAGGAAAGCACATGACGCAGCTGTTTGAAGGAACCCTTCAAAGATTCCCTAGGCAGCATGGGAATTCTGGGAAGATCTGGTCCCTATGTATCGGGGATGAGAAAAG